GTTGTTTGGCATCCGAAAGACCAGGACAACGCCACTTCACCCACAGTCTGATGGGATGGTAGAAAAGTACAACTGGACACTAGGACAGGAATTGGCAAACTTTTGTAATAGCCGCCAAGATGACTGGGATGTCAGAGCTTGAACCCATTGGATACACTCCAGCAAAGTTGATGTTTGGTCGGGAACTTCAGTTGCCAGTACATCTGTTAACAGGACGCCCACCTTATGAAGAGTTGCCTGAGAATGTGTCAGAGAATGTGAAAGTGTTATCGGAAAGGATGGATGATATTCACCATCAAGTGCGTTTAAAAGTTGAAAACGTCTGCTGATTCGATGAAGCTAACTTATATTAAGAGATCTACTGAAGTCAGCTTTGAACCAGGAGACAAGGTGTGGTTGTATAATCCCAGGAAGACCAAAGGGAAGTCCCCTAAGTTGTCTTCTCCATGGGAAAGACCATATGACATAGTGGATCGTCTCTCAGATGTTACTTTCCGAATAAAATGTGGTCGGCGAGGTAAGCCAAAAGTGGTGCATGCCAACAGGCTTTGGCATTATCACAGTCCAGGACATTTCAGTTGGGACGAAGTGAACAACAGAACAAATGACGCTGCTGAAGACGTGTCACCTGAAAAAGCCACCGTCGAAGAAGAAATTCTACACAGTTTTGAGAAGGGAAATGGTGAAGCTCTTGATGAAGTTACTACCACTGATGTGACTGTTACCGATGATAGGACATTTCCTGATGAAGCAGATGAAGCCCACGTGAAGCAGAAGCCAACGAGACGGAGACCAGTACGGAAGAAGATACGTTCCGTAAAATTAAGAGACTTTGTTGAATTGTAATTTTGCATATGTAATTCTGTACATTTAATTAAGTTATTGTTAATTGTTATTGGTTTAATGTAAGTGGCTATTGTTCGGGACGAACAATACTAAGGAGGGGGCAGTGTTGCGTCAGCAGAGGTCACGTGATTAGTATTACGCCACGTTGTTCTCGAACATTCACGTCCTTTCCTTAAATCTCGAGATCCTTCTAGATATAATGTAGTCTTGTATATATATATATATATATAAGACGGTCACAAAATTGACGGCAACTATGTGTGTAATTGAATGGAGTATTGTTGAGTTGAGCACGTGAGACGTTCGTTGAGAATTATAGCGTTTGTTATAGAGCGACCTGTTGAAATTAAGTGTATCGCAAAGTTATAATCAGAAAGAATAAACCAGTTTTATTTAAGCAAGGACTTGTATCGGTAAAGTTTCTTCGGAAAGAATTATTACGGAGAATTAACTAACGACCAGAGACGTAACATTATGTTAATCTATGTATACATTCAAGATGATTATAATGCTTAATGTTCTTGAATATGCAAGTATTCTTAAGAAAAGCAATTTAAGAATAAAATAATACTGAGTGTTAGCAATTTATGTTCTCCAGTTTGGCTTCAATTAAGACAGTTATTTTTCTAACAGGGTGATTGCCTTATATGGAATAAGCTGTTCTCAGCAGTAGTGAAGGCTGGCACTTTAGAGGAATCTAAGAGATATCAAAATTTCTTGAATTAATATGGGAGGGTTAAAATTTTTACTTTTCTCACGCTTGGGTGTGCAAGGACAGTCTTAAAGGACCAAATGGTCCTTTGTTGTCTGTATGTTATGTACATAGACAAATCCAATTTTTCTGTCCATCACAGTAAGATTGCACCAGAGCAGCACATTAATTTATTATTTGTTTTTGCAGGTTGCTTTAAGAAGTAAAACTGAAGTCACTTATGTAAAGACAGACATCCTAGGGACCACCTCACATATAGGCCACTGTAGGTTTGATATATTAATTTATTATTAACATAGTTTACCAGGGAAGAAACAATAAAAATTTCCACCATAATTTATCAATAAATCATAAATTTTCCTCTTCAACTTTTGTAAAATTGTTGCCCCACTAATGCCAACAGCAAATTACTCCAATTGTTAGAAAAGTAATTTTAACTGGAGCCTAGCAGTACATGTCCTTTCCAAATATTATCACCTTCACAAAAAATCACGTAACCAAGAAAATCAATTCTTATCATTATTTTCTTCAACAGAAAATAAGTTAATATATCATAACTTTTCATCATAAGATAACTCTTTCATCCTTAGAATTATCTTAGTAGCCCTCCTCTGAACCCTTTCCAATAAGTCAATATCTTTTCTTAGATAAATCAAAACTGTACACAATATTCCAAGTAAAGCCTACCTAATGATTTGTAAAATAAAATAATTACATTTTGTTTTGTAATCTCACTGCCAAACTAGGGTTTGTCTAATTTTTAAAAATTGTGTATAATACAGATAGTAACACATCACTCATGCAAATAAACTATTTCAATGTTATTTATTCACATTTGAACACATCTACTGCATCTTATACATTTGCCCAAGAATAACATTCCAAAATAAATAAATACAAACTGAGCACACGTGTATGTAAAAAAGGTAACCACCAAGATAACTTAAATTTTTGGTTAAAAATTTGGGCAAATAGACTAAAAAAATA